GGAGGGGGGGGGGGTTGAAAATCCACGGGATATCGCATGCTTGTCGGACATACGGCGATCGTGAATGCAGAACATGGAACGAGGTAAAACGCAAGAAGCAACGGGCAAAAAAAAACAATCTTCGCTTCAACGTAGTTGTCGGCAGCAGCCAGACTGACGGAACGGAACGGAACGGAACGGAATGGAAAAAAAGCCGTGCGACAACGCCGCTACTTTTTTGAACCAGAAGGAACTCACGATTGATCGTCATGTCGGAATAGCACTCAGACTACCGAAATGCCGCGCACTCTTTTTTTTTCTGAATATAACACAGTTAATCCACATCTATCCATAGACAAGGGGATATTCTAGGATAAATTGGCAATGGATTCAAACCCGCTTAACTTTGAACCAGGAAGGAGCTCACGTGTGGTCGCCGAGTCGGACTAGTAGTCAGACTAACGGAACAAAAAATACGGCTGTGCGACAGCGCGGAGCGGACTAGCAGTCAGACGAACGGAACGGAAAAAATGCCGCGCGACAGCGCCAACTATTATTTGGCAGTCAGGCGAACGGAACGGAAAAAAATACCGTGTGACACCGCCGCTACTTCGTAACACACTCACGTGTGGTCGTCGAGTTTGACTAGCTCGACCGCCGGGACGTGGCAGCAGTTCGCCTTGACCTCCTCCCTCCACCTCCCGTGCCGCAGCCGAGGCCAGTTGGGAAACGACCGAGTCTCCCCCGCTTTCTCCGCGGCAGCAGGGGCTCCGCGACTCGAATCCGGCGGCGCGGAGGGGTGGGTATTGGCGACCGCCGCGGCGCCCCCGTCTGCGTCGGCTAGGGAGTCGTGGAGGCGGCCCAGGAAGGAAATACGGCTGTTTCCCCGCCGGTGCCAGGGGCCCTGCAGTTGGCAAGGGGGGGGCATGGACATGAGGATGGGGGCGAAATCAGACACCGGACGCAAAAAAGATGACAACGATTGGGTCCTTGCATGCATGGCCGGTACGAGCCGGGGTGGCGGGGGGTACGCACCGAAAGCTCTAGGTAGCACACCTGCGCGTCACACTTGCAACTCGCGTAAGCTTCTAGCTACGGTGCTAGCTACGGTCGATCACCATGGACATTGGACATCATCGTTCGCCCCAAACCAGCAGTGCACAATGCGCACACCTGTAAATATGGTACCTCGAGATGGCAAGCAGTGGCTTCAGTGGCTTAAAAAAATTCAAGAACAAGTCAGAAAGAAAGAGCCAAAATAAGAAGTGTGCCCCTCGCACGCTCCGCACCAAGGGTGGGCAACCACAAAAACAGGCCACTGACATTGATGAGTCCACGACCAAAAACGTAAAAGTGTGAAGACTTTTGGGTGTCGCATTACAGTTCGTTCAAACGAAGAAAAAACAAAAAAAAGAAGTACCCGCTGGGAAAATGCGGTTTCATCAATACCTCGGTCCGGTACTCGCTCTCCCAACGCGATGAGCCGTCCACGTACTCGCTGAATGGCCATAACCAATGGGATGGGAGAGAACACACGACGACGCAGAGAATAGCATGCACGCATCGTCAGCAGCGGGAAAGGGGGCACAGCGGCAAAATGCGCGTTGGGGTGGAGGGGTGTTGGGGGGGGGAGGCAGCTGTGATGGCCAAAGATAAAACTAGCAGCGAATGTGTGTTTGACGTCGCGTGTGCTAGCTGTTCGAGCTTTGGAAACGTCACTGACGGCAGCTGGCAGCTGATTCAGACCAACCCATACTTTACACTTCCATCTTTGCACCACGGCTTGATGACACTACTTACACGTACAGTCGAGGGACCTTTATAGTGCCGGTAAAATCTCCGGACACAGGCGGAGCCCTCAATAGTGCCATACCGGCGCTATTGTGAGCATGCCCGGTATAGTGCCGGTTGGGCGCCACTGTCACCCTCAATAGTGCCGGTTCATCCCCCCGCGCACACACACAGCACACACACACAACCAGACAGAAGACAGACTCTAGACAGAGGAGTAGGGTACAGGTTCTGCTGCAGACCAGAACAGCTCTACGCAGGGGCGTACCATGCCATGTGCGGAAGGTGAACTGTGTGCTCAACAGGAGAAGACGTCGCAGGCCCCACACGGCCACCCTTGCAAGGGAGGATGTGGCGGGCGGCTCCACGGCAATTGCGGCAGCATGTTTGGCGACAACGAACAGCACCGCATCTGCAGTGCGTGCGTCGCCAAGGACGGCAAGCGCAAGGCGCCAGCAGCTGACACCGGTGGAAGGGGACAATCTAAACGCCCGAAGGTCACGAATGGGGGGAGTAAGACTTCTGCCGGTTTTTCTTCACTTCCCTGACCAGCCGTACCGAGCACGCGAAGCGGTCCGCTATCTGCTCATGAGTGGCCTTGGCATCCATGAGCTTCAGCACCTCAAGCTTGGCGTCCAAATCCGGCCGCGCACGAGGCCCCTTACGAGAAGGCTGAGACTTCTTACTCCCCCCATTCGTGACCTTCGGGCGTTTAGATTGTCCCCTTCCACCGGTATCAGCTGCTGGCGCCTTGCGCTTGCCGTCCTTGGCGATGCACGCACTGCAGATGCGGTGCTGTTCGTTGTCGCCAAACATGCTGCCGCAATTGCCGTGGAGCCGCCCGCCACATCCTCCCTTGCAAGGGTGGCCGTGTGGGGCCTGCGGCGCCTTCTCCTGTTGAGCGCACAGTTCACCTTCCGCACATGGCATGGTACGCCCCTGCGTAGAGCTGTCCTGGTCTGCAGCAGAACCTGTACCCTACTCCTCTGTCTAGAGTCTGTCTTCCGTCTGGTTGCGAGTGTGTGCGCGGGGGGATGAACCGGCACTATTGACGGTGACAGTGGCGCCCAGCCGACACTATACCGGGCATGCTCACAATAGCGCCGGTATGGCACTATTGAGGGCTCCGCCTGTGTCCGGAGATTTTACCGGCACTAAACCGGGCACTATAAAGGTCCCTCGACTGTACTGTGAACGCACTCCGGAGAGAGCACTTGTACTTTGAAAGAAAAGAGGACCGCGCGACTCACACGAGGTACCGCCCTCCAGAGTAGGCGACCACTAGCCCTGGCGTCCACATCACGTCCTCTTCGCTTAAAACTTCCACCTCCCAGCCAACAGCGTCCTCCTCGAATGGCCTGGCGGCAAGGGACTGCGCCCACTCCTCCATTCCAGCCTCTCCAACCTGTTCCCTCGCGCAGGTTGTTTACGCAAATGACGCACGGAGAGGTGTTGCCACACGTGATGCTACAGGCACAAACAACGCGTTTTGGCGTTTTTTATCGCGCTACAAGATTGAAAAAAAAAAAATGACATCTCCTGATTGGTTAGTGCGCACACATGGGAGGAGGAAGCGGAAGGCGAGAGGCGAATGGAAACAAGCACGAAGAGACGGCATGCAATATAGAAAAGGGTTTCGACCCAGCTGATTTTCCACACAGCGTCGGAAAAACAGGGGGACTGACCAAAGTAGTGGCAGAAATACTACACAGCGAAGAGGGTGGTAAAGGATGATAGAATCAGCACCAACACAAGTAGCACAAGCCTCGGTAGACATGTGCACTTCTCTCCAACGACTACCCTTTCTGTCGATAGAAAAGGCCTAGCCTCCCTCACGACCTCTCACGGGGTACAGCAGCACCATGCCCTTCAAAACCGTTTTCTGTTTTCAATCGCACCGGGATTGGCGTCTTTTCATTGGTCACCCGGTCGGTGCTAATGAAAAAATCACACTAATGTAATTATTTTTGTTGTTGTCTTCATGTTTAAAAACATTTCCAATCTTTCATAAATGGTACGGATATGGCGAGGTACTGAGTGGAGACCAGAACGGTTTTCAATGTTAACACGACAACAACACACGAGCCCCTTACCCCAACCTAGCCGATGCTACACTGTATCCAGTATGCTTGCATACTTCGAAAAACCTGCGCACGCTACGGCTGTGCCATTATACCTGTGTCCTCTCGTATATGTCCCGCCACAGCTCATCGTCGGCAGCATTCGTCCTCCACGTGCTGCAGACAGAGGCCGCCCTCCCAAGCTCGCTGATGGTCAGGAAATCGAACAAGAAGGGGCAGACGTACTCATCGCCGCTCACGACGGAGACTGTCATGTTATTTTGTTCGCGTTTTGGGACAAGAGCACGCCGGGGGTGGGGGTGGGGGGGGGGNGGGGGGGGGGGGGGGGGGGGGGGGGGGGGGGGGGGGGGGGGGGGGGAGAAGCAACGCTTATCGCGACGGCGAAGACAGACCCTTATCTATGGGAAGAGATGAATCATGCGTTGTGATACTCCGGAGAATGGTAGTAAGAACAAAATGAACAGATGCACTCCTTTTCTGGAGACGTGTGTATGCAGCGGTAGAGGGCCCCCAGTAGTGCGGGTATGGCCCAGACCAGTTCACCGGCACGTTTCACTTGTCACAGGGACCGGCACTGTTCAGAACCGGGATTATATACCATAGTGGGCCCTGTTTAGTGCCAGTATGTGTCCAGAGGTTACCCCGGCACTGTACCGGGCCACCGGCACTTTGCAGAACAGGGATGTGTAGGTTTTAGTAAGGAGTAGAAGTGTCCTGAGATTTGACTGGCACTATACCGGACTACGGCACTTTTCAACCGGCCCTATAGTGGGCCTACGGTTGTACTTCTAGGTTTCAGTACAGGAGCGGACACACAGCACTTCGATGTACGACAGGAAACGGGCCAACCGCCAGCTCAAGATCCGACTACTCCAGGCTGAAGTGGTGCAGACCCTCCTATACGGGTGCGCCTCGTGGAGCCTGGCAGCGGAGCACTACACCAAGCTGAATGGGACCCACCGCCAGTTCCTGACACGGTGTATCGGCTGGAGCAAGCGGAAGCGCTCAGACCGACCCCTGTCCTACGCCCAGGCCCTCATCCAGGCCGGCTGCGAGGAAACCATCGAGGCCACCGTGCGCAAACGGAGGCTGTGTTTTGCGGGCTTCGTTATGCGCATGGAGGACAA